ACCTAAATTGTCTAATTAATTTATCTAGTTTATTAGTTGATGAGGTTAATATTGCTCGTAGCCTTCTCCCGAAGTACAACTCGCCTATTCAAGCTAACCTAACGCCTATATTCCTGTGGAATTAGGATTAACAAGAACGTATTTATAATTCCCGTATAATAACCAAGCAAGGCGATTAGGTATATTCCTATCCTAACCGCAAATCCGCTCCCCTTCAGAGTTAAGATCTTGCTCTACTCAATCTTATATGCAATTTAGAATTCTCTCTCCCGAGCTCAATCCTAGATTTGTAGATAGTATTCAATTGGTGATCAAGCAATCAAATAATTAAGCGCAAGATTGAATAAATAAACCAATATGATAAAATAATAAGAACAATTCAAGCTTCAAACTATAACGTTCATGTAGCACCCAAAACTCTAGAACTAATGAACTATGAAATTAAAGGAAGAGAAGAGAAGAAAAACTAGTTAGAAGCCTCCTCCAAGCGTGGTGTGTGTTCCCCCACGTGAATTCTCCTTCAATGTATGTTAGATCCCCTTCAAAAAATGTTAGATCTCCTCCAAATTAGGTTTAGGACACCTTTTATACGAGTTGGGGTCGTATAGGGCCGAAATAACATTGTCCCGGACGAAATAGGAAAAGTCCCGCCCCCGGTGTCCAGGCCAGCGCCAAGCGCTGAACCTGGCTCTGAAAGCAGAAAGTTTTCACGTTCAAATTCCTTAGGTGGATTAACATTTCGATCTCGCTCGAATTCCGGTGGGTCAACATTTCGGCCTTGGCTTGAAATAACACCCTTACGGCCAACGGCTTGAAATAACACCCTTACGGCCAACGACCATCGACAAACTAGAAGTCAACCTCGTCCGAACGTGAGTTCGGAGCGGCTTCGTTCGGACTCACGCGACGAGAACCTACTCTATCTTGTCAAGGTCGGATTCCACAAAAATCCAAAGGTCTACGCCAAAACTGAAAGATGTAACAAACAAGGGGAAGGGAAAGAAAATCAAAGGACATACAAAGGCGAAACAACTGGTTTATTTATATATACATGCTTGGAAGCCGCACCTTACAAACGGCCAAAACGGGCCCGAAACAAAAAAAAAAGAGAAACAAAAAAAAGAATACAGGAATAGCAGCAATTTTTCACTCAGCGCCATCCTCCTTGTCATTATCTTCAGGAAACTCCTCCTCAACATCGGCATCCTCGCCAGCCTCCGGTGTCGTAGGGTCGTAGCCGCAATTGACGCGAGCCTCTCGTGCCTTTGCCCGGGCTTCTTCATAAGCGGCCTCAGAAACATTGCCCGCCTCTCACAAACCCTTGTAGATGTCCCACTGGGCCTCAGCATGAACCCAAAGCTCATGCAAGTGGCGAGGAATGGTGGTAGAGGCGGACTCGACCTGGGCCAACAATTACGCTCTCTCGGCCTCAAATGCCACAATGCGGTCCCCAAGGCTCGAGGCCTCCCGGTCGATCTCGCCAATGCGCTCCTCGAGCTGCGCCTCCCTCAGCGTGGTCGTTGCCCTCTCGGACTCTGCTTAGATTGGAGGACGTGGATAGTGTCCTCTAATGCCGCCACCCTTGCCAAAGCAGACGCTCGAGCATTCTCGACATTCTCCAATTCGGCTACTTTTCTCTCCAGCTCAGATAACTTCCCCATCCATTCCGCACTCAAAATTTTGACTCTGGCAGCACTCTGATCAAGTTCGGCTTGTAATGAAGACACTTTCGCCTGAAGATGCTCGCATTCGGCAGCAACCCATTTTCCTAACTCGAGTTCTTCGTCCTTGGTACGAAGCAACTCCTCGAGATCACTACACCTGCGAATGGACTGCATCAGTTCCTGGTCCCGCTTTTCCAACTCCTCTTCGAGGGATCGGGTGTCAGCGCTCGCCTTGAGCCGCTCATGCATCTCACGGCACCTATTGAGATACCGCCTATACTTCTCAAGCATCGTCAGAAAGATCTTGGCCCGAGTCTCGGCCCTGCAGGCACTCTTGATCTCCAGCATGTAAGACTGAAAACAAAGAGAGGGAGATAGTAGATAAGGGCCAAAATTAAACGAAAAAACAACGAACAAATGGAAACATACATAAAGGAACTCACCCTTAGGCCCATCGCGGCCACTCCACGTGATAGTTCGACGTCGCTGACGTCCTCAAGAGCTCCACTCTCCGCAACCGAGCACAAGAGATCAAACTGCGGCACAAAATCCACCGTGTCTTACAAAAGGTTGAGGTCCGACGGAATCGCAAGTATCCGAGAAGAACCCCTTGTCGTTACCATGGTTCGGGTGAAGCCCTCCTCGAACATCCTAACATCGTCAGGATCAAGGTCAGACTCGGACTCGTAGTCGTCGACCATGACGCCTTTCCCCTTCTCTTCAGTCCGAGAAGAAGTGCGGGTCGGCCGGGAGGTCGAAGGGCCGCTCGAGATAGTAGTGGCGACCTCGGGACTCCGTCTCTCCACCACTTTGGCTTGTTGATCTCTCGTAATTGCGCAGCCTCTATGACCGGACCGACATCACCGCCGACATCAGGTGTCGTCAAGGCAAGGTCGACGCCCGATGATGTTTCGGCTAAAGGCACCACCTCCAGGGCCACTCGTCGTCTCTTCGATAGGCCCTCTCCACTACCAGCACGGGATGACTCGCCTGTGGAGCGGGCAGTAGGAACCGGAGTCTCAGGTTGAGAAGTAGCCGTCGCGTTTGCAGCTCCGACCGTAGGCGCAGATTGGTTAGCGACTCTCGATACAGGCCGGATAGCAGCCCTTAGCGCATGACGGGCAGGGGGCGGCGGTTGACGGAATGCAAGAGGAGGCACCCTCGTCCTTCGCGTTCTCCCTGCCAACAAAGAAAAACGGTCATATAATAACAAGATCAAACCTTACGAAAAAGAGAGCAGGCTGACTCGCCAATGAGAGGTTTATGCCCGTATTTCTCGTGGAAGGACGTCCACTCGCGAATGCCCCTTGTATGGGGAAGAACCGTGCCCACCCACTCACGAATATCGTCAACTGGCGGGGGAGGTGGTCTCTCGGCTAAAAAGTAAAAACAAATCAGCAAAATCGTCCAAAGAAGAACGATCGGCGATCGCCTTGAGAAAAATCACAAAACAAACAGAACTTACGAGCGAAGTTCCATGTCTCAGGGAACCCTGTCGGCCCCGCTACAAGATGCTCTGTCCGCACGTAAAAATAGCTTTCCCAGAAGCGACGGTTAGCCTTATCATCCATCTTCACCACTAACTCTTGGTTCCCCGATGGGGTAGATGAATCATCGTGCCCCAAAGAAATTGAGGGGCAAAAATATTAAGCATGTGCCCCAAAGTAATCCCTCGATCGGCGAGCTCCACACACTTGATGAGCATGAGGAAAAGCTTGTACGCGTACGGTGAGAGCTGAGCCGGGCACACCTCATAGAAACGACGGAAGTCTGTCACTAGAGAAGGGAGAGGAAGCTTATACCCGACAATAAAAGGATACGCATAAAATTCGCAGTACCTCGGGCGATTCAAGTGCACAATGTCCACCCCCGTCGCCGGTATCATGTCGATATGGTTTGGGACTCCCCATTTAGCTTTGAGCGCCATAATTGCCGCTTCATCCATGGTAGAGGAGACAGGATCCGGTTCGTCTTCGACAGAACTGTTAAAGTCAGTCCATAACATCCCCGGACGGGGCAGTATCTTATCCACGGTCGGAAACCTCTCATCTTCCGCCACCTCCACCCCCTCTCCAAGAAGGGGTGTATCGTTTTTCGGCGCCAGAGCTCCGACGAATCTGTCAGTCTGAGAAGAGGAATCAGCCATTTATCTAGCCTGGTTGGATGAACAAGAGTGACGAAGGAATAAAAAGGGTGGATACGTCTCTTTCTGACAAAAGCACGAGTATGAAATATGGAAGAAGGTGGAAGTTTGCAAAATTCTTCAAGCAAGACGAAAAGCGTAACAATCGAATGATGAGTTCCCCCCATATATAGGAACACGAATGCCCTGAGCGGAAAACCCAAGAGCCGCTAAAAAGCTGAAAAGGCACGAGAAGCGACGCGGTGCCTGGGGAACGTGCATCATAATGACACGTAAAGGCATTCATGGTAGCCTAAACCGATGTGATGATCCATCTCCCAACGGAAGTAACGGTTCGGTAAAGTTCCTAAAATATCACCGCCACTTCGTCATAAGGACTCCGTCCTCGCGTAATGACCAAATTTCTCCTAAATTCTTGAATATACAGGGTCCACCCATTGGGCTCGCCCAGAAGACGACCCCAACAGATTGAGGGACTAACTTTATGGGTCGAAATCTGACCCTGATAGCTGGAGGCGATAAAAAAGTTCGACCCCGTCTTGGCCACACCCACGAGGCATAATAGCGACGGGCCCCGCGGTCCCTGTCGAGGTCAGGCCATCAAAAAGCTTACATCGCGGGATAAGCGTACGATCTTGGGTAAGTAACAAAGGGCTGTCGCGGCAAAGACCGTTGGATAAAAGGGAACATTGTTGATATATAAAGAGGGAGGAGGGAACTGTGAAAGGGGGACTGGCGATGACTAACAAAAGCAATACTACGAAGCCAAGGGGAGAAGATTCCTCAGTTATCTGCAGCTTCCTTTTCATCTTTTATATTCCTTCCACTGTAATCCAAGTCTATCACGAATGTAAGCTTACCGTTCTCACTTAATGTATGATTGCTATCTCAAGAAATATTAAATTAGTTTATTCTCTTTCAATTTTTATACTCAATGTGTTGCGATTTAAAGTTAATTACCTTTGGCTAAGATTTATCCTTTATTCCATTCATTAATTAGTTTAACAAAAAGTTTAATACTTTTTGGTCAAACAGTCAGGTGATTATTACGTAATTGTGAATGGGGGATAAAAATTGGAAATTAGGAATATTACAAAGAGGTAGGAAAAGGGCAAAAAGAAACATTACAAAGAGGGGAAGAAGATATCAAAATAGACAAGAAAGGGACCAAAACCAAAATTAAATCAAAACAATTTGTAGCAGAAAAAAGCCACAGAAAGGAAACCCCAACCCCTCCATAGAAATAGGCCACAACATCTCTCTCACAAGCAAACAGAATCAGAAAATGAGGAAAAAGCCATAGCAAAAGTTAAGAAAAAGCAAAAAAGAAACCCTCAAAGAACTCACACTACCACTGTAGTTCTAAAACTCCACACACAAATCCAAAGCAATAGAGTGAAAGAAATAAAAAGCTTCTTCCTTTACTTTTCTTTTCGTATCTAACCAGTCCCTTTCATTTCTACTCTGTCTCTTCGATTAGTCCATCTGTTTTACTCTGTCAGTTTAACTTCAATCCCATCCATTTTCCCTCCCAATGCCACTCACTATGGTCCCCTTTGTCATGCATTAAACACGAATAGTCCATGTTACCTCTCAGGTTGGGCTTAAATGGCGATCTTTATTTTCCATAATATTTGTGCAAGAATTGATTCTTTAACTCATTTCTATATGTGGGTACTTATAAAGATTCCATTTTTTATCTTGTTATACTAAATTTACTCTTCTATTGAATAAATAAGGAAATGGGTATTCAGTATTCATATCTGAAAATGGATAATATTGTGTGGAAAACTTGGTTTTTAAGACATTGTTGTATGTGGGCACTTATCAAAATTCCATTTTTTGATCTTATTATGCTTAGTTTAGTATTGTCTGACTAAGTAAGCAAATGGGTATTCATGTCTGAAAATGGAAATGGAGAATGGTCGTTTCTTGTCTCTTTCAACCGTGTGATTTCTTGCTGTTTTTGGGTTTTCTTGATTTGATCATCTCTAGATCTAATCGTAGCTTATAGTGGTAATTGTAATGTATCTGGTGTTGATTGGTGATTTGATTGTGTAACTGATTCACTAGGTATTTGTTGAGAAGGATTTGCTTTTGAGTTAGGGTTTGTTTCTTGGTGTGTGAAATTTTGCAATGGATGGGCGCATGAAGAAGTATAGGCAGTTGAGTCCGGAGAGAGCGAAAGTTTGGACTGAGAAATCACCTAAGTATCAGCAGCAGAAGCCACGGCTGAATAGTGGCAAAGTACCTGTGGTATACTATCTATGTCGAAATAGACAGCTTGAGCATCCCCATTTCATTGAAGTACCCTTGTCTTCGCCCGAGGGTCTTTACTTGAGGGGTAATGCAATTTTTGTTATTGTGTACAAATATGTTTGACCAATATGGTTGTTTGCTTTGGAATTTATTTGTGCTCTTGTACTTTTGAAGATGTAATTGAGAGGCTTAATGTTTTGAGAGGCCGAGGAATGGCTTTATCATACTCTTGGTCTTGCAAAAGGTAAAGTTCGTTTAACAATTTTAGTTTTGTTGTCAAATTTTGCTTTAAATGAAAGACTTAATGATAAGAGTTTTGTCTGTGGACTTAAGATTTGTTTGTTTAAAATACAGAAGCTACAAAAATGGATTCGTATGGCATGATCTTTGTGAAGATGACCTCATTCTTCCTGCCCATGGTAATGAGTATGTTCTTAAAGGCTCAGAGCTTTTCGATGAATCCAATGCAGGTATAGTGTACCATGTAGATAGAATTATAAACTTTGAACCGCTTGATTGTTAAAAATATCTTTGCATTACAATCCCTGCATTATTAATCCATGTATTACAATCCCTCCATAACTTCTTTCTTAACCAAATAACCGTTAAGTGTAATAATTGCGAGTGTTACTGCAAGAAATTTGAACAAAGGTCCCTTCTCGAAAAGAAATTAGAATAAGGGATGACTTTGGCTGCATTAATTCTTCATTGGAAGTGTCTTCCTACTAGAATTTCTTTTCTTTGTGAATGGATTACGATTTTGAGATTATTGGTTCTTATAACCGTTGGTATATTGGCCTTCTGTTTCCAGGTTGCTTTAGTCCCGCTGGAAATGTTAGATTGTCAACAAACCCAAAGCTACTACCAGAACCACCATCTTCTAGAAGCCAAGATGATTCTTCGTCTTCGTCTAGCATGAATGAGAAAGGTACGAAGAATTCTCAAGATGATGAATCGTCACCACCTGTTCAACGTCCAGGTTCTTCAGCGGTATCCCCTCAGTCCAGTGCTGGTAAAAGTTCTTCATGGAATGGTTCATTAAGTTTGACAGAGTACAAGATATATAAGGCCGACGGGCTGGCCGATGCTTCAACTCAGACTGAGGAAAATGTAAGCAAAGCTACACGTCCAGAAACTTGTACAAGAGGTGTTTCTACAGATGACGGGTCTGTAGAGCCTGAAAGTAATGAAATACAAGAGATTCAGATTCAACAGGCAAATGAATCTGCAGAGATATGCCGGGAGACAGTATCGCCTGCTCCATCCTCATCGAGTGCATCATCGTCAGGTGGTAGAACGGATACGTTGGAAAACCTCATCAGAGCTGATATAAATAAGCTCAACAGCTTTAGAATAATTGAAGGGGAGGAGTTTCGAGTTCCAAAAACTAAGCTAAAGCCCTCGAATGTGCTGATGCAACTAATTTCTTGTGGATCAATTTCAGTAAAAGATCATAGCTTTGGCCTTATTCCTACTTACAGGCCAAGATTTTCGCATTCAAAATTTCCATCTCCTCTGTTCTCGACCTCGTTAACTTTAGGAGATCTTGATTGCCTGGCTGAGAATCCTAGGTTTATGGGTTTGAGATTGGAAGATAAAGAATACTTCAGTGGCAGCCTGCTTGAGACGAATATGCCCAAGGAGCCTACCATTCTAAAGCGGTCGTCTTCTTACAATGCCGACAGGTTGGTATTTTTTGTTATTCCTCTACATTATAACACTAGAATGGCTTCTACGTATTCAATATATGCCTTACCAATATGACATTTCAGACTTCTTGCTAGTTAGAAACTCCCATGGATTTGTAAAACTAAGATAAATGTCAATTATTTCCTTAGATATGTGTATGGCAGTAGTTTCACAATCTGTAGCTACTAAATTTTGCTCGTCTGATTTCCCTCAGTTCTAATTATGTCAACATTCATAGTGCAAATCATAGGATGGTTGTCATGTTTAATTATTCTGTCCTTCCTAATGGTGGTTGCCTTTATTGTATCTTTGCTTTTTAGGACCAAATCACTATTACGGCAATAGTTAAGAGGAAACCTCTTCTTATTAACTTAACCTTGAAATATCGGGTAGATTTTATTGTCTGTTCACTGCAACAGCCATTTGCACAATTGCAAGATTTACACACTCCCTGTGAGCCTCAGTTATGGCGGTCATTTGACGTTATGCTCACTGCCTCCCACATCTAGCTTGAATAATTATGTGGATAACTGATTTGATCAGGGCGTAAGTCTACTTTTTCCAGGACATCCTATTTAAGTAAAATAGTAGGCCATTGACCTTCTGAAAAAGGAGTTAGCGCAAGTTTGATTCTTGTCCATGATGTAATAGGTCTTCAAACCAAGCAATATTCTAAACGTTGAGTGGAAATGGAATCTGTTGATGCAGGACAAATAAAGAACTTGGAGATTCAGCTGAAGAAAAAGAGGAGAAAAGCTCAGGCACAAAGTGCATTCCACGTTCAATCAAGGCTTCCCTGAATAAGCAGCAGGCAAGAAGCGAGACAGTGAAATCCCCTCTTTCTGAAGGTCCTAGAATATCATCAGATAGAATAGGCAGTTCACGAACCATTACACCTGGCACATCCTGTGGAGGAAGCAAGAGAATTACCGAGCCATCATCCGGCAAGAGACACTCAAATAGAATAGACTCTTTCAGAGAGGAGAAAGAAAATGTGATCAAAATTGAAGAAAGTTAAGTATGACTGACAAAAGATATGTTACTTTCCCTGTTACTGAATTATGTTGGTTGAGATGTTTTCTCTTTGTTTCTTTAAACAGGCTTGCTTCAGGAGCTCGGGTTATAATACAGTCGACAGGAGCTACTGACAATGATGATCTCTCTTAGAGAACAATTCTGAACATTAGGCAACCAGAAGAGTGGGGAATTTTGTTAAATCTTGTAACTACCTGTCCTACTTGTAATTGTCCAAACACGATTCTTTAAATGTCAATTAGGGAAAAGCATGGAGTAAATTAAGCATTTGCTGATAGGGACAAGTAGTGAGTATTGAGCTGGCTCTATTGTACCTATCCTTGTTTTTTTTTTGGGGGCCTCTTTTTCCAGTTTTGTGGTGTATTATTGCCATTGAAGTGAAATATTCCACTTTTGAATGGCCCCCTGGACCTCAGCTAGTAAATCCAAGCAATCATTTGTCTGCTGTATTATTTAGTCTTGCAGTTCTATTTTATGTGTCCCAAAAAAATCGATAGGTGAGAATACGATAAGGTGATCTCATGTCAAGATGATTTTGTTTTAGGAAAATGGGTATATCGATGAATCTTGAACAGAAGGTACATTACCCTCTCCAAACCACACTTGTGGGATTATACAGGATTATTGTTGGAGTAAAATGGATATCTTGTATGTTAACGTACCATGTTTAAGGGGCTATCTAGGTATTTAGCCATATATAAAAGTTAAAATCATTATATGATCCTTCCTCCCCAAATATGAACAACTGATGTTGTTTCCTTTGAGGACTTTTACGTATGTTGAAAATTTTGTGTCTTTATGCCATTAAATAAGGCCATTTACGACCCAATAAAACAGTTTGAATGTTGAAACGAGATTGAAGAGGAAAAGACAAAACCAATGACGAAGGAGCATGGGATTCCACTGCCCAATTGAGCTTTGTGGCAGAATGTTGACTTTGGTGTTGTTAACTCACTCATTGACTTTTTGGAAAGGTCAAAACTAACTTTGACCTAAGGTTCTTTCAACAGTTTAGTAAGTACTCTATATAAGACGACAAAACAGAAAAGGCTTTGTTGTCCCAGCTGTCAAACCTTATTGCCTAAAGAGTTTAATTTTATGCTACATCTACATGCATGGTCCATGAATTTTTTTCGTCAAATTAGATTTTTTATATATATATTTCTTAAAATTGATCTAATATTATATATTGGTCCACATACTTCAAAAGAGGTGAAATGGTACACACCTGGTTGAATGATCAATTATTTATCCTAAGGAACATTGATCAATTCTCAATTAGTACTTTTTTCTCGCTTTATCGGTGATGCACCAATATTTTAGAAATTCTAGATTCGCTTATGAGTAAATGTAAGATTTGTTATATTATCAAGCTACTTAAATAGTGCAATTACAGATAAAATTAGTATAATGTGATTTATTAACTTGAAAAAGGTAATAAGTAATTGTTACAACTTATTAAATTGTACTAATAGTGTCAAGATACAATATAAATTAAATCTATTGTCGAAAATATAACTAAACCTGACTAGGGGTGTCACCTCTTTATCTTGTAGAATATAAACAAGACGAATAATATACTCTCAACAAACGAGAAAATAGTCTTCTATGCCCATTTACAATTTGACTAGACGAATACACTCTCAAACTCAAGTGAGCATTTGAATTATAAACTCTAAATAGATGAGGTTACTAAAGCATTTTTAACTTTTTTTGGTGCTTAATCTGGTAAGTTATACAAACTTCACGAGTGTAAAAAATCCCCCGCACAATCTCGAAATGATAAGGGACCGCCAGTGCCCTTTAATTTCCCGTTAATTCTTTTATCAGTGTCCTGGTTCTGATAAAACGGATCAATTCCCACATTCACTCTCTCGTATTGATTCCGATGAGATGGTTGCCGTAATTAAGGACCCGTTTGGCTATAGACTTTGCCAAAATTTATTTGGGTATTTTTTAGCAAATACATATTTGTTCATAAATTTTAGGAATTTTTACCTCCTATAGCTAAGATTGATACCTTATTTTTAAATAAATATCCTTTTAAAAAATTATATTCCATAGCTACCTTTTGATTTTTATAGCCAAATATCTATTTATGTCACCTCCTACCCTTAAGCCATAAAATACGCTTTGTATTATTTTTCTCTCTCATTCTTTCAGATTTTTCTCTCACAAAATTACCGTATTTGATGTAAAACTTCTCTCTACACGTTTTCTCTCTCCAATTTCTCTCACTCTTATCCCCATTCTCTTCCCCTTTCTCAGAAACCACGATTCTGAACTTCTTCATCTACATTGTCTCTCTCAATTTTCTATATTTTTTGCTCCAAATAGTTGTGGTAAGTATTTATGTTGTTAGATTTTCGCTTTTACTGTGTTTATTCTCTTTATCTCTTCTAATTTTTTACAAATAATAACCATTGTTATGCTTCCAACAGAAAACTTTAAAGTTCCTCTCCAATGGCGGATTCAACATCCCAGAAGAGGGTTACCAAAAGTATACCCACCAAAGCACTCAATTTCGATGGACCCTCTTTCTCTTTGCAAATCTCTCAAGCAGAATTGAAATTTGCAGGATCAACAGCAAATACAGTTGCAGAGAGGAGAACTAAAATACGCAATGACACATCGAAAGAAGTCCAATTTGAGAAATCTTCGAAAGAATCAACACTTCTCGATGCGGTAAAGAGAATAAAACCTATGGATGATGCTTCTGGTGTTAAGGGAAAGGAGGTTGATGCAGGAAATAGCTCGGATACACGGGACGAAAAGGTAATTATTGATGTATCTATATGTATTTGAGTCCTCATACATTGAGTATTACCTTCTCTTAAGAGAAAATTTTATTGTATTTATATGTGTGCAATGGTGGATACATTGCTTTCTCTTCTTTTATGTTGATATGGTATACATGTATGTTGATGTATTCTAAGTATTCAAAAGTGTATTCACTGAATTTTACCTTTTTAGTGACTTTTGTATGTCGTATGTAAATGTATTTATATGTATTCAAAAATACCTTATCTGATTTATAATTATCCCACTGTCTTTTGCATATTGTATTTAGATGTATTCGAAAGTTCATTCACTGATTTGTACTAATTACAGTGCCTTTTGCATATTGTATTTAGATGTATTTTGATGTATTCAAAAGTTCATTCAAAACATGAATGCGTTTTGTATTGCAAAAGTTTTATGAATTTTTTTTGTAATTTTTGTTGTATGCAGGAAATAAAACTATTTGTGAAATACCTGCCTATTTAATCACCGCATATCAGTTCCTACACTAACACAGACATAGTATCCGACCTCAAGGAAAAACTTACTCCAGAACTGTACAAAATATTTGGTACTACTTGTTTTGGAAGTTTTCTTGATATGAAGCATTGTGAGGTCTAACACCAATTCTTCAGGTGCTTCATGGTTCTGCAGCTGGAAGGAACTGATGATGATTCATTTTCAATATACGTCAATGGTACAACATTATCCTTTTCAATCAGGGAGTTTGCGCTTGTCACTGGTCTCAATTGTGTTGGTGATCCTGAAGATTTTCAGTTTAACACAAAGGTGCCTAACAGGATTGTTGATACATACTTTCGCGGTGCAAAGAATGTCAAAAAAAAAGATTTGTTGAAATGCTTTGATGACAAGAATTGGGGTCATGACAACGATGGGTATGCCATCAAAATAGTTGTGTTGTATTTCATACACAGTTTCATATTTTCCACCAAGAAGAACACTTTTACCATCCCAAGAAAATATTTTGACTTGGTCGAGAGTGGGAGATATTCTGATTATCCATGGGGTAAGGATACATTCCAAAACCTTGTTAGATCTATTAGAAAGAAGATGGATTCTCAGAAGAAGTACTATAGGATAGCGGGGATGCCTCTAGCTATGCAAGTATGGTTTTACGAGTGCTCTTCAAATGTTGACCCCTAAATTGCACAGCGAGTTGATAACCAGATATCCAGAATACTCAATTAGAAATCCACTATCAACCAGCAAACTTATTCTTATTTGATGAACGACATGTTCAATGACCAAGGAAATATGGTAATTTACCATTTTTTAAGTGGTTGAATTTTTTTATGCATATATTTCTGTTAGTGAAATCATTGTTGAAATTTTCATTGAAATATAGTTCAATGCATCATACATCAATGTCCCTATTTCAAAATTATGGCACATACTGTATTCTACAAAATACAGTTGCATACAACATACAACTTATTTCTCTATTTTACTATTTAACTCGATACACAAGAATACAGAAAACAGTTTATAGATACATATGTAATTCTATGACGACCCAAAGGGTCATTACCTGTTTTCTCTTTCATCCCGTGCTTCCGAGGTCTTGAAAATCTCATCTTTTTATTACTTGCCTCGACTTGCGTGCGCAGTCCGGGCGCGTAGCCGAAAAGATTATATGTTAAATTCTGTGAAAAATTTCAAAATATAGTTTTAAAATGATTAAAGTTGACTTCGGTCAATATTTTTGGTAAACAGATTCGGACCCGTGATTTGAAGGTCCCGGAGGGTCCGTAGAAAAATATGGGACTCGGGCATGTGCCCGGAGTCGAAATCCGAGGTCTAGAGCCCGAGAAAAGAATTTTTCTGTGAAATTATTTTTCTGAAATTATTAAGGAAAATGGAAATAAAAATTGAATAAAAGACTGCGGTATCGGGCTCGTATTTTGGTTCCGACGCCCGGTACAAGTCTTATATATGGTTTAAGCGCTTTTTGTGAAATTTGGTCGAAATCGGACGTCATTTGACGTGTTTCGGACCTAAATATCTAAAATTTGAAGTTTATGAAGTTAGAATGAAAAATGATGATTTTGGGGTTTGATTCATTGATTTTGATGTTGTTATGACGATTTTATCGCTCGGTTAAGTTCGTATGAGGTTGTTGAGTTAGCGTGTGGGTTGGTTAGGAGCCCCGAGGGCTCGGGAGTGTTTTCGGAGGTGTTCGGGGTGGTTTTGGACTTAGGATGATATCAGATTTTCTGCAATTTTTACACAGGGATATTCTTCATCGCGTTCGCATTAGTTCCCCCGCATTCGCATAGATTCAGGTTGGTCTCCTTCGCGTTCGCGTCCCCATCATCGCGATCGCGTAGGCCAATTTCAGGACCCCCTGTAATTCCTTCACTGCGTTCGCGAACTCGTCCTCGCGTTCGCATAGTATTAGCACACCCTTCATCGCGTTCGCGTATTTACCTACGCGTTCGCGTAGAGTAAACCCAGGACCCCAGCCTTTTTCCTTCTACGCGTTCGCGTTCCTTCCCACGCGATCGCGATGCCTACCCATCTTACCCTTCGCGAACGCGGCCCCTTTCCCGCGAATGCGAAGGGAATTTTCGCCCAGTGATTTTTAAAGTTCAAAACAGAACCATTACGGGATTATTCCCATTCTTTCATAAAACTTGTCTTCTCCAAGCTC